TATATTGTTGTCATGCGAAAAGGTTGAGTGCACATAATGATTTCAGAACATGTTGTCACATCCAAGGGACAAGGAGAACCCTCCAAGGCCTTCGAATCCTACGATTGTGAGCCTCTTGCCTTTGAAAATCTATAGATTACCAAGTCGGTCAAGTGTGCGCAACGTTTGTCATTCAATCCAAACTTGAGGTGAACCCATCGTCATTGATGATACCCCTCCCCGCCGGCCTTCGATCTTGCGGCGAGTTCGCTCGAAGAGCGTCGGCCACTTCCCAGATCATGAGGAGACTCCTGTAGGGCAGTGGGTTTGAATGGGTGTTACTATGTGTACATGTACTTTTCTCAGCCTGGGATTGAGGAGACGCAACTTTGGGATGGATGTCCTGCTCACCCTAGCCCTCACGCAGGCCCTCGAGATTCTCCAGATGGACTTAGCAGTGCTCCCTCAGCCGAAACTTTGAAGTTGAGCCCCCTTGATAAAAGCCATCCCAAGGTGACTAAGCATGAACCTCAGAATCTCATTTCAATCTAATTGTAGTTGAGATTACATGCACAAGCTCAGTTTCATATCAATTCTCAGGTGATGAACATGGTCACGGGGCAAGCGCAGAATGCCATGCGGGCTAGCAAGAGGCCAGCAAAGCGGGGGCCGGCTACAGCAAAAGGCAAAGCCAAGTCCACCCCGAAAGCAAAGGCAAAGGCTAAAGCTAGAGCTAAAGCTGCGTCCATGGACCTGAAGCCCAAAGCGAAGGCCAAAGCAAAGGCAAAAGCGAAGGCAAAGGCAGGCAGTGGAAAGGGCAAGGGCACAAGCAAGGGCAATGCGACGACTTCCATAGCATTGTCTACTGAGCATGAGCCCGCTCTAAGAGGACGAGGCAAGGGTCGCGGTCGTGGCCGTGGACGTGGAACCACAACCGAGCCAACGATTGAGGCTGTGGGCGGTCCTGGACGGGGCGGGCGTGGACGTGGCGGGCGTGGACGTGGCGGGCGTGGACGTGGTGAGCGTGGACCGGATGGAGATCGTGAAGGCAACTTGGGATGCCCTCGATGCAGGTGGGCCAAGAGCGGTTGCTTGACTTGCCGCGACCCTAACTACACCTACCGTGGTGCACGTGGAAGGCCGAGAGCTGCATCTGAGAATCAGGTGGCTGAGGCTGAGTGAATTGCTTCATTATAATGGTGCTGATCTTGATCGGGTCGGTTTTTGACATGTGCGGCTGATCACAACGGGTTTTCGGCACATTTGTTGTGCAATGGGCTTTCGCAAGTGATCCTGGACCTTAGCTACATTTATCAGTATTCAATATAAGAAGCTTTCCCGAGCCTAGCCCAAATAAGGAGTTGTACTGGATGTTGCGGGTCCAGGTCGTTTGTGCATTGAAATTGGGGAACATCAAGCAGCTTTCATGAAAAGGAAGGCGAGCGTGAGAAATGTGTTGGTCGAGGGTTTCATGTGCTGGCAACATCTACCTTGCAGATTCCTAGCCTAAATGCGATCCATCCTGTGACAGGTACTTATGAGCAATGCTTGGCGGCTTCGTCGGCGGGGATCGAGCAGGAATGGTTCAGGTGCTCTGCTGCCCTTCTATTGACTGAACTTGTGAAGGTGGTTGCTTGCATGGCAGCACAATTTGCTTGGTCCATGTGCTCAAACAGTCTTCTGATAGCGCACATTTATACATATTTCCATATCTACGGGGCCATGGGCCGACGATCCATGGCGGTATTCAGGAACTTGCTGATGTCTTCTGCCCCCGGAGCCTCTCGATTGCCAGGTATTATGCCACGACTTGACCCCAACATAATTTCCTGAATCCCAAAACGAACCAAGGTTTTGATACTTTGCGTCCTCCTGATCCTCCAAACAGAAGGCATCGATTTGCAGAAGGCAGGGCTGTCAATGAGCGCAATGTTCCTCAGATGACCCATTAATGTTTGTCTCAGGCACTGGATGGGTGCGAAGTCTGTGCTGGCATTGGAATGCTAAGCAGAGTATTAAATCTCCACGATTTTGCGGTTCCGGCTATGGATATACAATACTGGACTCGCTACGCAGCGGGAAGGCCGTGCGCTTCGAATCCCCTAGACCTTTTGTCTGCATCTGGATTCGCGAGCCTTGGTTAATGTGGAGCATGATGAATTGCACTCCTGTTTTGGTGGCAGGGGTTGTTTGCGAATACTTGTGTGGGAGCTGAGGTTACTTCTCGTGCAAGCCTTGAAAGCCAAACCGGGAGCTTGTTTTCACTTTGGCTTGGTATGCTCATCATGGGTGAGCATCTGCCAATTCTCATCAGGGAGAAGGTATTTATGCCCGCATGGAGATACAAGTCTCCCATGGGTGGAGGCTGCCAATACCATGGTCAGCAGGCATTTCGGGAAACCCAATGATCAGCCCAAATACACCCCAAACTTATAAGCCCAGATGTTTAGGAATGCACACATATAAACCTTTCCCGAGCCCTGTACTACCCTGACTTGTTTAAGCCTCGAAAGCCCTGAGCCAGGTTCTGCTTGGTGGTTTGGCTGCTGGTATCTCAAGGATGCAATTTCACGCTTGAGCAACCATCCTCATCGTTAATGTATCGACATCATCGGTTTCAAGAATTGTGCAAGGCGATGTATGCAACTAGGCTGATATTGAGCTTCGATCTTGTAGCCTTATAAAATGCGTACATGATGATGCCGCCTTCTGAGGTGTACAAGCAAGCCTTTTGGATGGGACGGCTAGGTAGTGCCTCCCCGAAGCGTTCAGTGCTCTACAGTAGCTCCCCTGCCATCCACGAATTCGGAGCATATGCAAAATTTTCCAAGAAGGATCGGAAGGCGTGCCACGAGAAGCTAGCCACCAGCTTCAAGGTTGATGGGAAAACCCGCTACACGGGCGTGAAAAAGAAACTCAAGAAGTCCCAGAATCCTGACAGCATTATAATTGTGTGTTGATGTGTGGGCTTGGTTTACATAAACAGGACTTGCACATGCAATCTTACCTGAGGTGCTACCCCTTTGCCTTTGCCCTGCGATTTACCAAATTGTGGCCAAAGCTCATGCAGAGCAGAGTGGTTTGGCGTCGTCCAGAAGAGCAGGCAGGCAGCTTTCGTCAGCCTGGGTTGGGGTTGTGATGTTTTGAAGCTTTGATTCGGAGGTGCCTGCCGATCTGAATTTCGAGGATGTGAAGAGAGAGCTCTACACAAGGGTTCCAAATGACTTGTGGGCAGATGCTAAAGTAGGCGAGGTGCTTGAATATTTGTATTCCAACAAGCGTCTACGCCTGACGGCCGACCAGAAGCAGATGCTGCGTGAGCTGGCCTCTGCCTGGGCTACGGAAGATGACATCTGATCAAATTTGTTCGCAGAACAAAGGTTGGGAGTGCAGGGTATACCTAAAGGGAACAAATGGGCACACTTCTGGTTGCCAAGGTTACCTAATTTGCAGTTGCGGGGTTCTAGTTTCGGACTATATATGTTCATACTTTCGGGATTTTGGTCTAGAGTTTCGGGATTTTGGGCCAGGGTTTCGGGTTTTTGGTCCTTTAATTTCGCAAATCTTACGATTTTACACCTAAATTGCAGTGCCGTAAAAAAGCGTGCAGTGCCATAAATAAGTGTGCCAGTGCCGTAAAAAAGCGTAAATCCCGAGAACCCAAAAACCTGCACAATTCTCAAGCAAACCCATGCAACATTTTTCCTCAAGGATTTATAGTTCATAACGATGCCTACCGGAGTACCCCTGCGCTTGTGCTCACGCGAACAAAGTTGTGGCACCTTGTACGCGGGACAATCCTTTATGGCGAAGCAATCTTCCAAGCCACGTGTGAAAGTTGAAGAAGCTTCCCGCGAAAACATTGAGGAAGATTTGAGAGCACCTTATCTGAACTGTAGCTTCCACATGTTTCTTGATCCCACCTGTGTCATTAAGTACTTGTGGCCCCAGCATAGTTAACATCCTATAACCCATAATAAAATCATCCATGGCCCAAGGTTGCCCAGCAGACTTTGGACGCCCTCCGCGCCAAAGCCGAGGTTTTGCGAGCTGCCCCAGAACCTGAGGTGACAGGTGTTGCGGCTGCTGTGGAGCCTAGCCGTCCAGTCCCAACCCCTTGCCGTTCTTCAGCTGAGCTTCCTAGAGCAGTCTCTACTGATGCACAGCCAACAGAACAGCAACGCTGGGAAGAACTTTGTCTTCAAGAAGGTCTTCAGGAGCAGGACACGCTGGTTGATGAACCCGAGAACCCCGACCCCTATTTGGGCGTAGTTCAGTTTCTGGGGGAAGATGCCAACTCTGATGATGAGTTGGTGCCAGCAGTTGCTTGGATGCCTATATACCAATCGAACCCACTATAGAAATTTCATATAAAGGTATAACCCTCCACCTGACTAAGGATGATGATGAAATCCATGACTTCCTGCATGCTTACCATAATATGGCGCAAGCTGAGCAGCCTCAGCAGCGTCATGATGAAGCTCCCATCTCGCCAACGGCATCTTGGGTGGTACACAGAACGCGGCACAAGCTATCGTTTCAGTAAGCTTGCAATCCTGAATGTATAAGGTTATGGATGAGGCAGTGGATGGTATTCAGGATCCGTATTGGGAACCATTGCGGGATTCGGAAATTGTGGAAGATGCTTTGCATGCTCCTACGACTCCTCCGCCCCCGAAGATGGTGAGCCCAGTTAGGAGATTGGAGTTCCCGAGCCCAACCCCAAGCCCGGAGAAGAACCTGCCCGACAAGGAGGTCCCCAAGAAGCGTCCTGCATCGTCCCCATCACTTTCCTTGGCTACGACCCCAAGCTCCTCTGCAAAGAAGTCCCGGAAAAAGCTTTCCAAGCAATCCCCAAAGAAGAACAAGGAGGTGCCCACATATTTCCTTAATTATGTTCATCATTTTATGTATATACCTGTCCCCCTTACAAGGAATGCAATATACCTAGAAACACCCTGGAGGCTCCCATTCGCATCACCAAAAAGCAGTTCCGGAACTACGAGGCTACGTTGAGGAGGATGTGCCGTAAGAGTGCAAAGCGAGGGACTTTGCAGGTTGCCCCCGAAGTGGCAGAGAAATGGAAGACCACGAACACCCGGAAGCAAATCTTGAATGCCTTCATTGCAGCCAAAGGCAACAAGGATTGGTGCACATTTAAAGGGCGGCGTAGAATGGGGCTTCAGTGATTATATCATATTATATAGGACTTCGGGGATGTTTTCAGGGTGTATATATATATACGATATAAGTATATATAATATATTATATATATGTATTAACAGGGATTAAGGTTTGAGAGTTATAGGGGAAGGATGGGTCTATAGGAGGGAATGCATGTGGGTCATGGCACTTCGCAGGAGACATTCAACTGTCGCATGGAGATTCTCATCAAGCAGAAGAAGGAGCTCACCCTTTCGATCAAAAGTGGATTCTACAGCGAGGAACTCATGAAGACCGAGCTGAAGTTCAAGCCGCCTATCGCCTTAACTTTGAAACCTCACCTATACATGTGGAACTGCAGCATTGAATACATGCCTGGTGTTTGTTAACCGCCAATGCATCTCAGGGATCGGATAAAGGCAATCGTCCGGTACTGCACGGCTACGAAGATGAGAAGGAAGAAGTTGACCAGGCCTGTACGTGAGCGTTGATGTTTGTTTGGGTGTGTGGGAAAAGCATTCAGGGGTTAGAGCATGGATCTGAACATTTTTGCAGGAAAGACAAATACCAGCGGCACGTGCGTGAATATTGGGTGGACGTTGAGACTGTTGGCAAGCTGGAAACCTCGCACATGGAGGAGTTCAGCCAAAAGTACACCATTGTTGATGAGGATGGTAGTGAGCTGCCCATGCCCGAGATTGGCGGCAAGAGCCCCTCTGCTTGCCTTAGCCTTGACGGTGACTCCTATTCGGATGATGATGATGATGGCGAGAATGATGATGAGAGCCCCAGCAAGACCAAGGCCACGAAGAGAAAGAACAAAAAGAAGACCCCAAGTCCCCATAGCAAGCGCAGCATTCTTCGAGACAGCAACAAGAAGACGAAGTCAGTGAGGAAAGCCGCCAAGGCTAAGGAGGATGAGGTTGAGGCTGCTTTGGAGGCGTGTGCTAGGGTAATGCACTAGGCTTCTATCCTGAAATCTTTTGTGCCCTGAACCTTTCAGGAAATGGATCGAATTCCTACGATACTCTCCGAAATCCTCAAGCTTCGGATCAAAATGGACAACACGATGGACAAGCTGAAGGCATGCAAGGAGGAGGATGCCAAGAAGCTACTTTTCTAAACAAATGAGTCTGCATACTTCATTATGGTCCCATGCCCAAACCTCATACATGTCCTAAGGAGCCTGGCTAACATGACTGCGCAAGCGGACAAGCTCATGCTGCTTCATGACGATTTGGCAGAGCTCAAGGCAGAGCATGGCAACGATGCGTGCCCAGAAAAGTCGAGGCTAGTATGCATTACAGTTTTTTGTAACGCGGATGATGAGTCTTTTTAAATATCTGAATTTTACAATGACTCAGGATCTTGGACAAGTTGAAGAAGCACTGCGGGAATGTGGAAAAACTGTGCCTTGCTTTTAACCCCGAGTGCGCCTTCGTAGGATTGCGCAGCTGCTTGCCACTGCCATTCTCACCTCATATAAGGTCCAGCCGCGTGATGATGGAAGAAAAGAAATTGAAGCGGATTTATGGCGGCACTACGTAATAATGCCTTCAAGTGTTCATTCCGTTTGCGCATTTATGATTGCATTCGTTTCAACTCAGGACGATCCTGCGCAAGGGCAAGGGTGCCACTACTGACGGTGAAGCATCGTCTTGCGAAGCTGAGCCTAAGCCTAAGCCCAAGAAGGTTCCTGTGCCTAAGGCTACTGGAAAGGCAAAGGCTAAAGCCAAGGGTGCTCTGAAGAAGAAGTAGGCATGCTAGATTTTCTTATCGGGGCACTTTCGCCAAACCAGCGTTTGATCGCTATAGCTATGCAGGGGTTGATGCCACGGGAAAGGGCACCCTTCTTGCCATATGCATGTTAAGAAAACATGATGTGGATGTGAGGTGTGCTGCAACCTGGGGGCGTGCGGAAAATCATTACGCTTATGTGCAGCCTGTCGGTGTGTCCCCTTGAAAAGGTTTATACATGTATGCCTAGTGGCTGCGCAGGTGCTGCTTCGGGACCTCGCGATACACCTGGCGCAGCTTCGGAATCCTTGGCCAAAGCTCGGGGATCCGGAGTGAGCTGGGCGGAAATGGTTATAATGTTGGGTTTCATTTTAACCTATAAGGACTCATATAAACCCCATGAAGGACAATTGAGGTTATATAGGGGTACAAACCATGTATATCATATAACCCTTCTATGTGAGAACCCCTGGAAAGATCTACATTACGATTTTATATATGACGATTATTAGATTATAGTGTTGGGGTCTTGGTTTGATTACATCCCTGAAGGTGTCAGACAGACTCCTATGCAGTATAGCTGCAGGCTTTGTTGAGGAGTGTAGGGGGGCCGACTCGGACCTTGTGGAGAACCTTGAAAGTTCGGAACTTCTGATCAATTTAGCAAGGCAATCGAAGACGAAGCACGAAAACGCTTCCAGCAAGGCTTTTGAACGTGCAGGCTTGGCTGCTCCAATTGAGATTTCAATGGTAGATATTGGTTCCAAATACAAGCTCCCTATCCTCAAAGTGACACACTTCATGCAAACCCTTGCTGATCACGGGAAGCTACCACTACTTTGGGGATCCAGAAGTCTTGTATCCCGGACGGATATTTTGCCGAAGTTCTGGCGTCGTTATCGAGGCTACGACGCAGAGCACGCAGTTTTCGCTGCCCATGGCCAACATTTAGATCGCGTACTGCCACTGCAGATTCATGCGGATGAAGGTCAGACCCTCAAGAAAAGTGCTGTCATGATCATTAGCTGGCAGTCCCCACTAGGTTTTGGAACTTCCGTTGAGGATGATGTGGCAGCTGCTATGCACTTGAACTTTATTGGGAATTCTTATGCTACGCGGTATTTGTTCGCTGTTTGCACCAAGAAGACTTACCAAAAGAAGAAGGCCCATGTTCTTGACAACATTATCGACATCCTTGCGAAAGAGCTATACGACTTGTTCCATGATGGTATCTGGTTAAGTGTTGGGAACGAAAAAGTGCAGTTCTGGATCGCAACCCTGGGGCTGAAAGGGGACTGGCCTATCCAATCTCGTTTGGGGCATCTCGAGCGCCACTTCGCACGTAAGGGCGTCTACCAAGAATCTGCTACAAGTGGGTTCTGTCACCTATGCTGTGCTGGGGAAAGGAATGTGCCTCCGTTTGAATATCACGCTGAAGCAAAATGGCGGGATACATACCTGACATCAACCCCATGGAGTCTTCCTGGCCCGCTTTGCCAAATACCACAATCCCCAAGGAAGGAGTTTTTCCATAAGTTCGACATCTTTCATTGTCTTCACAAAGGATGCTTTGCAGAGCTTGCGGGAAGTGCCATCGTCACAGGTTCGTTTGTTGGTAAACCTTTTTTTTGTGTAAGCGGTACCCTGTGAAACCCTGTATATAAAACCTATGCCCATAATCCTTTGTAAACCCATCCCAAAAAAATCCCTGCCCTTCTTCAAAAATCAGGTTGTGCTGACGGATTACAAAATGACAGGCCCTGGTAACTTTCAACTGCAACTGGATCGCATCTATGAGCTTCTCCGTGAATTTTCTGCAAGAACCCAAACCCCGCTACACATGGATGGGCTTACGCGCAACATCCTGGCCTTCCCTGGTGACTACGAGTATCCTGTGGGGTGTCATGGTTTTGTGTAGTTGTGTTTTAGCTTTCTATAAACTTCTTATCAATCCTTGCCGGGTATATAACTAATCCCCCCAAATAAGGTCATGGTTCAAAGGGGCTGATACCTCTTGTGTATGCCTTTTCTTCGAAGAGTATCTGGAGAAGAAGCTGCCGGATATTTCAAATGATGATTTGGCCTATTTCGCAAGCATGCTTGATGCCTTTCGGAGTGCAAATGCATTTTTGAGAGTTCTCTACAAGAGCGGCCTTTGGTTATCGCAGGATCGTTGCCGTGCTGCTGCACAAGCGGGATTGGATTTTATTCGATCTTACCTGGAGATAGCTGCCATGGCGCATGAGGCTGAGCGCACGCGTTTCAAGCTAACGCCGAAGTTACATGCGATGATCCACATAACGGATCACATGGTTTCTGGTTTGGAGCGTGGCCTTCGATGGACTCTCAATCCTTTATCCGAGTCCGTACAAATGGACGAGGATCTAGTGGGGAAGGTGTCTTCCATTACTTGTACTGTTTCGACGCGGCAAGTGCATTTGCAAACGATCAGGAAGTATCTGACAAACCTGTGGTCCCATCTGCGGGGCACGAGCTGCTCATGATGTGTATAGATGGATCGATGACTGCAAGAGCTGTTCGAAAAAATGATGGATTCGCTCATTTCTTGGTCTAGAAATCGGTCACCGGCCCAAACTTGGCCCAAACCTCTTCCCTCAGAAGCTCCTTTCGTCTGTTGCCTATTATTTTGGGTAACTAGGTTTTCCAGGTATGCTGTCAGACATGCAACGCTGCAAGACATCCCTAGCAAAATGACAGCCGACTCAGACATTTTTGTAACTTTCAGAATGAAGTTTGCATCAGTGCTCTGCAAAGTACAATGATTGAACGCCTGAACGCCTGCCACCAAGTTTGGGCTCAAGGTCCATTCTGTAAAGCAATTGAGATGTACTGCTTGCCAGATGATTCCAAGACGCCCGCGATGGCTCATAATAGCGTAAACTGTATCCAACACGCTCAAGTGTCAAATGAGATCGAAAAATCGCGCGAG